CATCCATCCATCCATCCATCCATCCATCCATCCATCCATCCATCCATGTATATACTGCCATCTTCCAGCTAACCATTTATTCTGCCACTCCTTTGTTTGAGCCTGGTGCCAGGCTAGATCCTGGTTTTACCTGTATGTAATATGAACAAGAGGAGATTTTGGCTCACTCGGGAAGACTGCCAGCTGGCCACGGCCCATTCAATGTCGGCCCACGCTGTGGCGGGCTGTGGCACGCGGTCGAGCGCCTCCTTGCTGTGGTGCGCACTGCATCCCCTAGAAAGGCCATGGCGTTCTCATCTGGCTTCAGGGCTGCTGCTGAGGAAGTCATGCTGTTTGTAGCGTCTTGGATTTTTGAAAATTGCCCTGTTTTAATTCTCATCTTTTATAAAAGCCCGAAAGCCTGGAATGGGGAGAACTAAGTGGGGTGACCGTGTGCTTCCGCGGAGTGCTCTCAGCCCACTGGCCACGTGCCACGTTGTGCAGGCTCTTACCACCATTGCCAGAGCTCTGCAGAGCTCTTAAATCACAACGAGGTAGCAATGTGTACCTTCCGGAAAGGCTCTGCTGAAACACGGAAGCACCGTGGGTGCTCGTGGGGTGTGGACTGCTGGGCTCCCTCGTGCGCCCCCGTTGATGGGCAGTGGCAGGCCGCACAGCAGCTTACAGCGCACACATGTAAGCGCCTGTCACCAGCTAGCGTTTGCTCAGGCATGCATTCATTCCTGGGAAATGAGAAGCCACTCTCAACACCACAAACCTGTGCAGATGTGAGGGCATCAGCTGCAGCCCTAACTTGAAAACACCTAAGGTGTGTGTCAGCCGGTACACGGTCGTGCAAACTGTGGTTATCCACCGTGGAAAACGGCGCTGATGAGTGAGAGTGGGTCATGGACCAGCAGTTTAGCCAATCTGTGTGATTTCTTTGAAATGACAGAATTTTAGAAATGGAGAAGAGATGAGTGGGTGGGAGATGGGGTTGGGAAGGGGGCCAGGACTGTTCTGGGTATTTGCTGGCGTGGACATGGAACCTTCCTGTGTGGTAGAATTTGTAGAACGTGGGGACGAAGCTGGGGAGTCGGTTTGGAGGGTTGGAGTTGAGCCGGTGTCCTGGTTGTGTAATATTCCGTGGCTCTGGGAAGGCCCTGGGGAACTGAATGAAACACGGCACAGAAGGCATGCGTGTTGCTTCTTGGGAGCACACGAACCTACAGCCATCTCAGCAAAAGCCCCAATTAGGAAAAGGTCATGGTGTGCCTGGGGCGCAGCTCGGCAGGTCAAATGCTAGCAGTACGTGCCTGAGGACCTGAGCCTGATCCCCAGAACCACAGCAAGAGGGAAGAGCTGACCGCCGTGGTGCTGAAGGGGTGGTGAGGGAGACGGGGCACGCCTGGGACGCCGGCTGCTCAG